GCACTTGTTCTGCTCTCGGCTCTCCTTCCAGGTGGCCGTGGTCTTGACCAGCTGAGGTATGATGCCCATCGCTCCAGAGTCCATCCAGAGGACCCAACTTCTGTCGGCCTCCAGTAGTTGCAGCGCCATGGCGTGCTGGCTGACATACTTGGTTAGAACTTGCACTTGCTTTGCCAGCTGCTGGTTTGGGGCCGGGATCGGCTCCCTTTTTGCTTTGCCTGGGCCTTTGCCCTCCCTGCGACGGAATTTCCGCCCCTCGCCGTTCTCCTCCTCGGTCGGCCTGTCCCTCATTATGAGTTCCATCGGGCTGTGCTGCCCCCACATGTTCGCCACTTCCTGCAGTGCTTGGTCGTCCATGGCGCGACAGAAATGCGATTTGCAAGAGTGGCAGGCACTTTTGAGCGTGAACCCTCGGGGTTTTGTGGTAGGTTACTCCGCAATGCCGGCATGGTCTAGCTAGCGGTAAACCGTGTACCAGCTCTGCAAATCCCTCAGCTCGCTTCCAGGCCTCCTTGTGCTGGTTGGCACAGTGTCGCCTCCAGTCCTGTTGATTCGTCAATCGCTGAAGGCAAAGTCCACAGTGCCGTGTCAGCATGTCAATGACCTCGCTGTCTCCTGCCTCCATTTTGCCCTGCCTGTGCACGTCGGGGTTGAGTTGCCTGGCAAGGAACTCATCAGTGATGCAAGTTCTCACATCCCTGGCGACGGGGGCCGTGTCCGGCGCCCCAACCTTATGCCATGCTGTGGCTAAGGCTGTTTGGAAAATAACCGTGCAGCTCCGAGTGTGCCTGTCGGGTTGGTACACCATGACCTCACAAAGGTCGCAGACACTGTCACGGGTGAGGTGAGATTTATACATCGCACACTCAGTGTCCAGGTTGCCAATACTTGCATGCCATATGTGTGAGTGCATTCTCTTGATGTGCTCCTTAACCGAACCTCCCTTAGCGATCCATTGTCCACAGAAGCCACAGTGCTGGATGAGACTCCTAGCGTGATCTCTGACGATCTGCAGCTTAGAGTCCGACTGCAGTAGTTGCTTCGCCACTTCAGGTCTACGCAGCAACGGGATCGTCGGCTCCTTCTGGGCAGGCTGTACCGGTTGTTGCCGAGCGATGGTGCTCGAGGGATGGGTGTCTTCATGTATGCGTGGGTCCCTGTCTGATTGACCCCTAGGGGGGGTAGCGATGTCCTGCTGTTCGGCCTCCCAAGTGGGGCCGGGTGGCATCTGCCAGCCACAAACGTTGTTGAGGATGTGATTCCTCAGCGCGTCCCATGAACCCGTCCTAAGACCACAATGAATGCACTGTGGCATGCCACCAGCAGAGTGATCCTGTTGTTGATACATGTCATCATCATGCCGGCGCGAGCTCACATACACCTTGTGGACCCTCCCCCTGTGCTGTCTCATTGTTTTGTTTGATGGGAAGTACACTCCGCAGACTGGGCAGGCCACCGGCTGCGATTGTTGCGCGGGCACCGGGATCAGCCTGGAGTCGGGCTCCGCATCGATGTTTTCTGTGTGGAAGATGAGGTATTGCTGTAGCATACTTTCCCAATACTGGAGAGTTTGTGGCTGGTTGATGATGCTCGCTTCTGCAACCCGAAGCTTATCAAGTTTATGCCGAATCCGTTGCACAGTGGCATCTATAGGATCCTGAACCCCTAATCTTTGCCGAAGTTGCTTGTTAGTCTCATGCGAGATGTGGGCAGGTGAGTCCGCAACGGCTCTTAGTTGACGATAGAACCAACCCCTGAGGAGTGCCACCGCCTTGGCAGAGGGCGCGAAAGCGATGAGGCCAAATGTAGCACTCGATGCAGCACAGGCCTGCCAGATGCGTACTCTATGCGCTAGGCCGAAGACTTTCCTGGACCTGGTCGCCTTTTTGATTTTGCCAGTTCTCTTGTTAGCTTCAGCAATACGGTAGCCTACCACTTTGTGCGCTTCCGTTTGGAGGGAAAGGTGCGTCCCTAGGTATGTAGTGTAGCAGGCAATGGGGATTAGCGCCTCGCTCCCATCAGGGTGTCGCGCCCGCCACCATTTTTTCCCGTCCTTATACACTACATAGTCCTTGAGCGCACGTCTGGCCCCAGGTCCGCAAACTTTTAGGAGCAGGACTGTTTTGGTAAGGTTAACCAAAAGCCCCATGTCCTGCATGACCCCCAGAAGTTTGTTAATGAAACTGCTAAGTTGGGCAATGTCCGTGGAGTTTTCAATGAGCCATTGCACTAAGGTATCGTCGGCAAAAGTGGTTGCTTGTCTGTGGGGGCCTGAGAGGGCATCCCCCAGCCGCTCCAGCAAAAGGGTCGATATTGCCACCCAAAGCATGGGGGCGATCTTACATCCTTGGCGGATGCCTCGCGTTGTACCCACTGTGCTTTGTTCCTGATCACTGATGATGTGATACCGTGATGTGTCTAGGAGGGAGATAATCTCGGCCGTCATGCTTTCTCCCGCACCAAGGTCTTTTAGCGACTGGGCTAGTGCTTGACGGTTAACTCTGTCAAATGCCTGTTTGAGGTCAAGGCTGAGGATGGCTCCCCCGACGCAGAGTTTTGTGTTGTCCGGATTTTCCTCCCTGTCCCTTTGGGCGAATTTGCTTCTGTTTCCTCGTCCGTAACACCTTTTGAAGTTGTCAATCCACACCTGCACTCTAGCCAAGGCATCGTACAAATCCCTCCCCGGCTGATAGGCAAACTGCGGCACCCTGCGCAGCTGGGGCCGAATCAGCTCATAGAGTCTGATTTTGAGAAGCCCTGCAAGGGCTTTGGCATCAGGAGACATGAGGCCTATTGGCCTGAGCGATGAGGGCTCGCATGGGTCTTTGCCCGGCTTTGGGAGCCAGACTATCCACGCGTCGGTCCACTGAAGAGGGAGTGTTATCCCTGGTTGGTGAGAATGCTGGTCAAAAGCCATCTTCAGCAGCCTCGCAACCTGTGGGGCCGCTAATCGCCATGCAGAAGCAGGAGCTACTCCTGGAGGGACGGCTTTCCCAATCTTGATGGACTTCAGCTGCGATTCAATTTCCTCAACCGTGAAAACTAAGTTAAGACCTTGCTCCTCCCTAGCCGGCTGCTCTGTGTCCGGAGCGAAAAGATCTTCGCTATAGCTCACCAGGGCTTCGTGCTCCTGTTGGAGAGTGAGGAGTCGGCCGCTTGGGTCCTTAATCATGACCCGTTGTCTAGGTTGCCAGGGTGCTAATCTCCGAACAACCTGATACACGGTTCGTTGGTCCCCGTTATCAGCTGCCTGCTCAGCCTTTTGGAGTAGTTGGAGGATGTCTTCGCGCTTCTTTTCCTTGCATTGTTTCTCAGCAATTTTGACTTGCTTCCGCAGGGCAACCGTAGCTTTCCATCCCCGAAAGAGTCTGGATAGGAAGTACCACCAGGGGTTGTTTTCCAGGTTTTCCCTTTCCGGCTCCCTTGGGGGCCGTACGGTGACGTACTCGGCTTCCCTTCGCTTCTGCCATAAGTGCTGCACAATGGGGTTGGGTGGAGGGTTGGGTTTCCTCTCCAATGGGTAGTGGTTCTGACAAGTGTCAAGAAGGGTGGAGTTGATGTTGGCTGGGGTGGGGTCCGTGAGGGCATTGAGGGCTGTCGCAAGGGCAAGCTGCAGGGTATGTGCCCCCTCCTCCCGATTACGTATCTCGTGATCCAGTTTGTGCCTGTCCAGCTGGGGGTTCGTGGATCTTTTGGGGAGCATGTGATGGTTCATGAGACGGATGGTTGTGTGAAGCGCCAGGTGACCGACGTGCCGTCTCCAGTTGCCAATTGGTGGGGCTGTCACTTTGACATTCTTGGCTTCCCAATCAGCAGATATGGCTCTGGTCAGGATGAAGTCGATTTGGCTCTTTCCCGCCCCCCGCCCCCCCGTTAAATTATACTGGGTAGGCGTGGCTGGACCGCGCCATGTGTTAAGGGCAACCAGACCGAGATTATCCAGGAACGTGTTGAGGTCCCCGGGGTCCAGTGCGTCTGCCCCGACATGGAATGGGGTCTGGCAGGTTGAACGACCGACTAATGGAGCATGTGGAGTGACTTCAGCCTGGAAATCCCCCACCACAACCACCGTGTTGCGCATGGAGAGGCCCCTAACACAACCACTTAGTTTTTCAAGGAGTTTAGCCCGCTTTTCCCGCAGGACTTCGGGGCGTTGTGCAAAATTATGTGGGTGCTGATAGCAATTAACCAATTCGACCCTCCCTTGTGCTGTCGAGATCTGTGTGCGCAGGACTCTACCTGGAATCACCTCCTCATGCCGGATGTGTGTTGCTTGGTGTCTCGGATGCACCAAGGTGAGAACACCATCAGCTCTGGCAGCTGTTCCTGAGTGTACCGCAAACCATCCTTCCAGTTTGTATGTGGAGCTTGTGCTAAGGTGCGTCTCCTGCAGGCATATGAAGTCGTATTTGGTACTTTGCTGTTTGAGCAGCTCTCGGAGTTCTTGCCACATGAGGACCGATAGAGCTCCGACGTTCAAGGACAGGACATGAATCCTTGCGATCCCGTGTCTACCTCCCCGCGCGCCTCTTCTCTTATACTGATCCAGCGGCACTCTCTGCGCTGCTCGCACCTGAACATCAGGAAGTTGTGACCGCGTGCACCATTTCCCTCGGTACCAAGCCCCTCCCTGCACTCTAGCTGTGTGAACTGCTCTACGAAGCGCTCTCTTGGATCCCGGTAGGGTGTGCGCATGATCGGCAATGTGATCTGTGGCAGGTGCAGACCGAGCTCCCTGCCCAAGGCATAGGACGCACAGCAGCCTCAGCGCGCGGCTCCATATAGTACAATGTGGCGCTGTTAGTCGATTGTGTCGTGAGTGTCGCGTAAGAGGTGTCTCTTTGGCTCGATGCATGAAGCTGTGTCTCGCCACGCCTAGGAGACATGTGCTAAGCAGGAATGCACATGCACTGTGGAAAAACGGCGTCCTGCCCGGCACATCCATTGAACAATTTTTCGGCTCCCACACGGGGCCGAGGCTCATCCCTTCTCTCAGCCTTTTAGTCATTTCCAAGTCGTTCTTCCATTGCCTCCCAGTGCTGGAGGAGCTTATGGGCTCGCCGTCTTTGGTCTGCCGGTCGTAGTGCCCTGAGGTCATGTAAGAAGGCCTTGCACATCTGATTGGATGTGAGTGCCGGCGCTGCGGGGGACTCTGATGCCTTCTTCGGCTCCTTGTAATCGTCCAGGTCGATGATCTGGCTGGTGTCCGCTGCACGGAGCACCCATTGCTGAGGTGTCCTCGGCTCCTTCGTGGGGCCGTCAATCTGCTGCTGGCCATCACCAGAGGCCGTCTTTTCTGTCCGTTGCCTCTTTGAGGCCGGGGGCCCCACTGTCTCATCCTCCGTTTCGCTCCATTCCAGGAGCTCAGCTGCCCCTCTGGGAAGACGATGTCGGTGGATGGGTTGTGGGACCTCAAGGGCCGCTGGTCTTGATGGCCACCATAGCATAAGCTCCTACTGACTGCTAATTGGCAGCGAAGAGCTGCACTAAAGGCCGATGGTGGTACCTTTACAGGGCAAAGCTCATGCACTGCAGCTTGTGTGTTCCTGCTTCCATGGAAGTCCATGCAGCAGATTACGCAACTGAGGTACAACCAGAAACAAATATGCATAAGTTTTGGTGTCCGGCATAAAGGCGCGCCCCCCGCCATCTTCCCACCTGCGGAAGTGCATGCGTTGATAGCATGTGTAGGTCCTTCCCCCGTGGGGGGCCCGGGGGAAACCTTCACCTCACCCTTGCCTTGGAATGTAGTCTTCTTCTTATTGTAGTAGGAAGGGCCGGCGGACTTAGGACCGCCGCGGTGACTGAGGAATTTCTGGTAAACGTCGTGAATTCGGAGGGGTGTATGGAGGGGTCTGCGTTTGTACTTTCCTTTAGTGCGTCTATGCGTTATCCACTTATTGCCCGGCTTAGGTTCGTTCCTATATCGGATCAGTAGTGAAAACGCAGTGCACCACCCCAGCAAAATCCCCCTAGGCCAATCCTCCTTAGATCTCCTAGATTCAGTCGACCACTGATCGTCTTCCACTGAGGGGTTGGCAGATCCGGCTCCCCAGCAGGGCCGTGCATGTAGGATAACTGCCTGCGGGCGGTTGACATGCTCCGGGGGCACTGATGTGGAGATAGGCTGGGATTTGGCTAAGAGGGTGTGCATGTGGTGGCTTTCACGCATGTGAGTTGTCGGATAGTGCCTTTTCTGTGCAGCATATCTAATCTGCTGATCGCTGCTATTCTGGGACCTGGTGTTATTCCTGGGCTGTCCAACTCCTAGACCTGCGCCCTGATTTTCACCAGCCACGAAGGAATCAATCACCTTTTCGGCACTCCCTGTGGGGGCCGTCGGAGAGGAGAAATGGGGTGTGCCTCCCATGTCGGTCGGCAGGTCCCGGCTCATGATTAGGCGTATGTGGGAGGAGCCCTGGATGTCGCACCATTGATAGCGCTGTCTGTCCCTGACATCAACAATCCAGCGGATGTCCCCTAAACTGATGCCATGTGCCTGCAGAAGAGGGCTGCAGGCTAGCTCGATGGCCGAGGCAAAGCCGTCTTGTCTGACCTGCACCCCATAGCGATGACCCGGTTCTCGCAAGATCTCAGTGAGGACACCGTTAATGTCATCACGTCGTGTAGGACAGTCTGGTGTTGCATCCGTCCTGGAGGTGATTGTCGGGTCTCGGGCTGATCTGCGGGCCGGGGTACGGCTCCTGTCCTGCGCGCTGCCCTTGTCGTGGTCCTGTTCATGGTCCTGAGGCTCGGTGACTGCAGTGCTGGAGGATGAGGCCGGCTGGGCACGCTGGGCCGAAGGAGTGGGAGCGCTGACGGAATTCGCATCCAGGAGTGTCCACGGCCACCCCTCTGGTGTGTCATGTTCCCGGGTTCCCTCAGCCGGAACCCTCTGTGCTGGGGCGTCCCGCTGAGTGGTGCCGGCTGATCGGCTCCCGCGGCTGCCTGCGCCAGCCTCCCTGGTCTCTCTTTGTTCCCGTTGTTCCCGACGTCTGGCAAGCTCAGTGCGTGTCCGTCTCCTCTCACCATTGGGCCGAACCCGTGCCCGAGGGTGTCTGCGCGGGCTGCGCGGGCTGTTTGCCATCTTGAGCCTAATCCTTGCATTATCCCTGCTTCGGGCTGACGGGGCCGAGGGTGAAACGACTGTGCTGGTGTCGTGTCGCCTCTTCCTGTTCCCAACGGGTCTAGGGGCCTCTTTATGCATCCTTCTATGGTCAATTGATTGCCTAAGTGAGATGGGCGCTGACAACATACGGCAGGGTACACTCGGTCTTGTGTGGTGCTCGTGTCCTAGAGGTCTCCACTCAAGGGTTCGCGCCTGCGAGTCCGAAGATGTCCAGGCAGTGTCTGCACAAATTGGATGTAGCTCGGAGGCAGCTTTGACCCTGGAGCGGAGGTCTGCACGTGGTGGGGCCGAAAGCGGCTCCCCTGCATCAGGCAGCGTTTGGAGTGCCCTAATGCTATTGGACTGACAACTGCACTCTCTCGGATGGCTCATGCTCTCACCTACATCAGACCGACTGCAGCTACGCACAGTGAAGGACATGTAAGTAGCAGCCCATCCCGCATGCCAGCATGGTATACACATCACTCTCACAGACTGTTCAGCACCTATGATCATGACTTCGTGTCGAGCAAGACCAAACGACCGTGCAGGCGCTGAGGTCCCGACCGGAGGTGCAACACGGATCCACTGTGGACAGATCTCTGCATCCGCTGTCAGCCAGGCTTCCAGGGTCTGTTCTGGAGGCTGCGAGTGCTGCACAGGCCAGTTGATCCCTAAGGTGGTGTTTGCTGACAGAGGGGTATGCGTGGCGTCCTTGCATCGGCCTTCCCCCTGTTCGGGGGCCGCATGTTGTTCAGGCAGTGTACACAACACGCACACCGATCGGGAGGTACCGAGTGGCTTGGCATTATGTCTAGCTGGACTCGGATCTTGCACGGTTACTGGGGCCCCTGCTGGAGGTGCGTCACGGATCCATAGCGTGCAGATCTCTGCAGCCATTGTCATGTATTCTATCGAAGACTGCTTGGGAGGCTGCGAGTGCTGCACAGGCCAGTTGATCCCTAAGGTGGTGTTTGCTGACAGAGGGGTATGCGTGGCGTCCTTGCATCGGCCTTCCCCCTGTTCGGGGGCCGCATGTTGTTCAGGCAGTGTACGCCACACGCACACCGATCGGGAGGTACCGAGTGGCTTGGCATTATGTCTAGCTGAACTCGGATCTTGCACGGTTACTGGGGCCCCTGCTGGAGGTGCGTCACGGATCCATTGCGTGCAGATCTCTGCAGCCATTGTCATGTATTCTATCGAAGACTGCTTGGGAGGCTGCGAGTGCTGCACGGACCAGTTGATCTCTAAGGTGGCGTTTGCTGACCGGGGCCCTTGCGTGGTGTCCCGGTATCGGCTTTCCCAGTGCGCTGGGGCCGTATGATGCTCTGGCAGGGTCTCCCACATTGGCAGCAGGGCACACATCCAAACAAGCATGCATCTTGTTATGCACTGACGTTCCCACTTTGCATGTTTCCCTCTCAAAAATCTCTCTCTCCTTCTTGGCACTTTCCAAGCAAGTTTGGTGCTGTGGCTCAGCACCGAGCCAATCCATGGCATGTAAACCACGTCCTCTCTCACCTGTGTGAAGAGAGGCACAAAAACAGACTACCCCCTCCCCCCTCCCGACTCACGCTACAAACAAATTTGAGCCGGAGGCTTACTCGGAGGATCTGCAATGTTACTCTGAGAAGGCACACGCTCCAGCCAAGTGACTCCCTGATCTTCATTCTCGAGCTCGAAGAAGATCGAAGCCAGTAGCAGCATCGTTCGGGATCTGCTTCCCCCTTTAATCAGAACTTCTCTCGCTCCTTCGTTGTCCACGAAATAGATGGCCCTCCTTCCCGTGAGCAGGCGAGAGAAGGATTGTCGGGCTGCAACCACAGCGAACGCCTCGGCCTGCCCGATCACCTGTTCAGGGCTATCCAGCCGCCAGAACCTAACCAGCGAATCCGGAATCCTCCCTCCAGCGACCAACCTTGTGTCGGTGAAGCGATCAATTACCACCACGCCATAAGATGCGATCCCATGTTCATAGGCAGCGTCAGTAAAGATCACCACGGGACTCACGGGTCCCCTGCAGGCAAAGATTCTAGGCGTACAGGCGTCTATGAGATCCACCCCAAAACTGCAGAGCGAGCGCAAGTCAGAAACGGTCCGCATCCCAGGATCGCGAAGAAAACTTCCCAAAGCCCTTTGTAGCAACTTCAGACCTCTTCCCGAAGCGAATCCGACAGCGAAGTTGACTTGCCCTTGCAGCGATTGGATGGAGTGAATGTCCCATTTGCCACTCAAGCTCATCCTGAGAAGTGCGTCTTTCATCCTGTCCAACCTGCTAGGCTTGTTGTGCAAGGAGACCACGCCATCAGCGATGCCGCCAGCATTCAGCCTAATCCCCAGAAGGTCGAAGGTCTCTTCGAAGGGCAGCGACTTCTCAGGCTCAGTTGAGTACTTCCACCCAAGCTTCCGAAGCATATGCTCAAATGACTCTGAAGAAAGTTTTGCCGAAGTGTCTACCTCCAGAAGAGGAAAGTCGTCGTAGAAGCATCCAGAAACCAGACCGAGAAGATGCCAGCTCAGGTGCAAAATCGATCTCGACAGCCTGTTAAAAGCGAATACCGACGAAGTAGCCCCGAAGGGGAGGCTCTGCGCCACGAAGTAGCGGTGTTGTCCTGTCGAAGGTTCCGTGACCATGACAACGCCAAACTTCAGTGAATCACACGACAGTGGAACTTGTCGGTAAGCTTTTTCAAGGTCCAGCGTGCGTCCCAGCCATCTAGGTGGCCGAGACTTCCATTGTGGATGAATTTCGCCCCTGAGCACCTCACCACAGCTGAGCTCCACTTCCAAAGGCGATGAAGGATCAGAAACTCTAGCTATGTACGTGCTGATGGCTGTCATCCAGTTGACATCAAAGAGGGCAAGCTTCTCCAAGCAGTGGTAGGCCTCGTTGACGCCCCCCTCCTTGTAGTTGTCGATGGGTCTGGCCTTCGGCCTTTCCGGGGTCCCTTGCTCTATGAGGAAACGCCGCGAGCACACGAACTCGTCGACTCCCAGGTGCTCCCTGACCTCGTTCTCAGAGGCAAAGGGGCCTTTCAAGAAACCGTTGTCTCTGTCTTTGATCGTACAGTCCCACAGCTTCTGCCTAGCTGCGGCATCGTCCTTGTGCGGGTCACGCCCTTTGAGTCGCTCCCTTCTCCAGCTGGCAGATTCCAAAAGAAGGTTTCCGTCAGAAGTTGCCGGGACCTCTTTGACGTCGAACAGCGGCGACTTGTCGGGTTTGCCCACAAGATCCACCCCCTTCATCAGCCCGAAAACGCCCTTGTCGGCAAACAACGTTTCCTCCAAAAGATGCGCCCAAAGCAACAAATTCTTGTCCTTGACCACCTCGCGAAC